GGCGGGTCAGGAGAGGTCTGCCTCGCCATGTGGTCACCTCCAGGGCAGGCGGGGATCGAACTCATATGGAAGTGGCTTTAGTTTCTTAGTGCAGTGCTTTAACCCGCTGCGCCACCAGGGAGGGCCATTACTAGCTCTTTTTTAAAAGAACTTTCTTTAAATAGTTTTATATCCTCAGACTCGTGTATTTTTCAATATTTATAATGCTTTCCCACAGTTCCTATCCAGTATAAGAATCTTGAAGGAAAAAAAAAATGAAAGTTTGATTTAAGAAGCCAGTTAGCCCTAAAGTTTTATAAAAATTTCTATATAGCAGTTTTTCTTGCTTTGAGGGTATTGTGTTTAAAGAGAAATGATTGTCTTTATATATATAGTATGTCTCACATCTCCTAACTCACGACCTCCTCCCATGACAGTAATAGTTGTCAATATGCTCTCTGTCATTCCAGGTTAAAAGGTAAATTTAAAACTTAGTCCAGAAAATAAAGCTAATGGTAACCAAAGACTAAAGGCAGCAAGCAGTAAAATCCCCTAAATTGAATATTTTTTGTAAATTGTCAGGGTTAGACACATCAAAAAGAGTTTTCAGGAAAAAAATTAACACACTTGAGCCAAAAAAAGATTTCACAAAATTTGACTCATATTACAAGTTCACCATACTATTTTTCTTGGAAAAGAGGATAGAAAAGGACATTATGCAATGAACTTGTAAGGACTTAAGCACAGTAACATACTTAAGAATACCCTGGAGGAAGTGCACGGGACTATGGTGATGGCAAACGGGTGACTCAGTGATGGGAAACCCACAGGGACTACAATTGAGATGGGAAAAAAAAATGTACAAAATGATATAAAAATAAGAATACCCTGGAGCCCAGTCTAAGGGTCACTCGGTGGTAGTAGGAAGCAAGTGTGGCCCCTGTGTCTGGGATGAAGTGTTGGTTTATAACTTCCAATGAGAGAATATCTGTATAAAATCAATCTCATATTCAGAGAAAAGAACAAAGTTGGTGCACATTCTTACTTAGTAAGAATGGCTATTAACCAATTCATTCATTCTTTTCCCCCCTAAACTGGTTGAAGTGGGGGAGGGGATACTGTCTTGAACAAAACAGAAAATGTAAGAATTTGAAAATCCAAGCTAACATTTTCCAGAATAAATATTCTTTAGATATAGAAAGTCACAATGTCATTATTTTTACATTTTCACTATTTAATACTATACCTTAGATGAAGGTCCTCTGAAAACTTCAGACAGGCATAGATAAATTCTTTAATTTGGTTGTAAACTTTTGGCACAAATTCAGAGAAAGGAAACTTTTTTGGAAAAGGTTGCTGTGAATGGAAGAATTAACATGAAAGCATGTCAAAAACTAACATATACTGAAGACATAAACAAATAAATTTTCTTCCATATATGAACTGTCTGAATACAAATCTAAAATTTAAGAAATTATGTCTTAAAGTTTCCTGTTACAAAGAATAAGATATCGATTTAAATAAATAATAATTCATGTCTTTCGGCAAGTGCGTTTTCTCCAATAAAAAAGAAATGAACTATTGATACATGCAACAATTTAAATGAATCACAAGTATATTATGCAATTCAGTGAAAGAGTACAATCTCAAGATTACATACTGTATGATTCCATTCATATGACATTTTGGAAAAGGCAAAAATAGTGAACAGATTAGTGGTTTCTAAAGGGCAGGGGTTTAAAAGTGGCAGGATGAGAGGATTTGTGGGCATGATAGGACTGTTCTGGATAATACTGTGGTCATAAATATATGACTCAATGCACTGTCGAAACCAAGAGTATAACACAGCACACAGGGTAAATTTTACTCTCTGTTTTGGGGAGAAAATGTTCTAAGAGTATAATAAAAGGAAGTATTTCAACGTATAAACCAAACTGGAGTACCCCCATCTATCCCCTAAATATTTCCCCCGAACTGGAATTACTATTCTTCAAATCCAAAATATGTTATTTAAGATATTCTAGAGTTCCAACCGTTTGAGTTGGAAGAAATACCTTTAAATGATACAGATAAAATGAAAGCTTCTAGAGGATGCCAAATCAAACAAAGTTTAAAGTATTCCTTACCTTTTCCAGCTCTATATCTTGAAATGGAAATTGCCCTACCACCTTTTTATAGATCTCTTCACTTGTTACTGGTATAGGACTGTAGTTGTCAGAATCAAGTATGTTTCTATTAAAAAAGAGAGAGGGAGGGAGGGAGGGAAAGTGGGAAGGAAGCAGCAAAGAAAGGTAAGTTAATTACTGTGTGATCACAACAAATTTAAGGGTATACATATATATATGTGTGTTTCCCAATCTCTACAATATTTTTTTCTACAACAGTCACTTGATCCAAGAGGAATATATTAAAAAAAAAAACCTAGAACAAGTGGAACACAATTATAAAAATGAGTTCACAGTATTTTATAGATGAGACAGAATATTTTAAGGCAATATGTTGAAGCTTTCAGGCAAGTGACAAAAAAAATCATGTCTGCTCTAGAAAAGGCAAGTAGTTTTTATTTATTTTTGGTTTTAAAATAAGGTAGCTGTTGATGTTTTTAATTTTATACTAGATACTTTAATATTCAATGTTGGCAGGTTAAAAAAAAAGTAGCTTCTATAATAAATACAAAATATGTTCATTAACTCCATCAAATACTCTGTATTAGTGTGAATTTTTTACCCATAGTTTCTGACTCCTAAATAGACTGAGGGAGCATCTAAAAGTAGAGGTCATGCTACCAAAATCAAAACAGAAATTTACTGAAAGCATGAGGGAGTAAGCACTTACAAACAAGGATACATTGTTATTAATTTCAAAGGTCCCTATAAAGATATTCCTCCCCTAAACATAATTCTATCAGGTAAACCTGATTTTTAGAGTACAATTGTTTATATCATATTAATATATACAAATGAGTTGGACTAGATGATTACTATTTTCATATACTGGGCAGAGAAAGATTAAAGGAATAATGTAATATCTTAAAGCTATAAGAGTTTTAAAACAGGATAGGCTGAGCTGGGGAAGGAGTCATGCAGGAGCCAAAAGGCCACTTTAAGTAAAAGATAAAGATTCATAAAGAGAAAATTTTCAGGTGAGTTGACATGGGGTATGTAAGAAGAAAACAGTCCGTGGAGCTATATTGTGAATAGAAGGCATAACAGAATAACTTTTTTTTTATCATAATATGTATGTTGCAATAACTATTTAAATAATATTGTTCAAATACACTGCATTGTAATATAGGTATTTGCTCTGTGTGTAGATAATAAAAATAGGGAGTTACGTAAATACTTGAAAGGTTCTTGAAGAATTTGTATTATTTGGAAGTTTTTAAAAATCACTGTATTCTTCTGTAGTGAAGCATAGACTAGTCATGATCCTCAAAGACAAAATAAAAAGGTGGAATAAAAATACACAAGTTGATCTGGAAGTTATGAACCAAGGTATCTGATATTTCCTCTAGGAAACAAAGATGCCCAAATGGGACAAGTTGATGCCCCACATAGCAGACAATAACACTTTGAAATTGGATATCTTAAAAACTTTATTTTGGACATCAGTGTAATTGCTTAAATTTTGAATCATAATCTAGAACATATTTAGAAAATATAAGTCACATGAACTTGATGCTTATTACATGGAAAACTTTATGCATAAATTCATGTGTGTGCACACATGTACAAGCACTGCATGCACACATAACTATAGATAATTTCTCACCTGAAAATACCTGCCCACTTCTTTAGCAGAGTTTCACTATACTGATCTCTGATTTCTAACAGCATGTCAAAAAGTTGATTTACAGGAAAGCCATACACCTGAAATAAAATTAAAAGCCTCATTTTCTAAGGTAAATAATTTATTAACATGAGATATTTAAGCACTGAAAAGTACTCTTGTTCTCTGACCAGCAATTCAAATGAAATCATATGAAAAATCTTACATTCCACCAAAAATCTGGTGTTTATTTCTTAAGAGTTAAAAAGACATATGCCAAACTATAGAAAATAATCAGGGGGAAAAGAAGTTTAACTAAGAATCAGGTCAATATATACTGGGCACACTGTCAGTTAAGTTGTCCCTACAACTCAGCCTGTAATTTTTGCAACGTGTAGGCATGAGATGAGAAGTGAAAATGCTACCACTCTTATCTACTTCTCATGTTATTTTATTTACTTTAATATAATGTTCAAGTCAAGAGTCATTATTTAGTATGGCACTTGAGACTCTCCAATTTCTCAGGTACAATATCTGAATTAGGGTACTTTGAAAAACTAAGTTAGTGAATGGTTTAATTAGCTGATGTGCTCTTGTGGAAAAAAGGGTGGTAGTTATTTATGTGAAATATAGGTAAGGTGATAACTAGAAATGCCATAAAAAAATAAACAGATCTAGCTCTAGAAAAAAAGAAACACAAAGAAAAGTACTTTACTAAACCTGAAATAGACAGTGGGAAGATTCTGAGCAGATAAAATACTAATCTGGATAAATTACATGCAAATACAAGTCACAAACCTGAAGTGTGTCAGCAAAAAGGACAATGAGGTTCTTCAGATCTAATACAAGGTTGGGATCAGAGCAATAAGACTAAAAGAAATAAAATACAAAGAAAGAAAACACCTTAATTATTTAACTAAAACTAAAATTCAACTTACTTAATCACCTAAAGTTTTACCTGGCAACTGTTCCCTAGGAAGGATCCCATACTCATCTGGTTTATTGTAATGCCAGATTCAATCATAGAAGAGCTGACTAGAGATTCCAGTATAACATGATCTGTATTATTAGCACTTGGAAATTTAAAAACACACTTCAGTTAAGGGAGAAATCAAAATTGATATTGCTGTTCATTTAAAATAAAAATAATGAAAAACTTCACATCAAAACCTATGGAATATGAAGAAAGTCATTTTTTTAAAGTATATCTTCACACTCAAAAATTAGAAAACACAAAAGATTGCAAAAATCAAATCACATAAATCATGAGTCAGACCAAAAAAGTTAGAACTGATAAAAGTGAAATCAATAACATAAAGAAGACATGAGAGATTTGATAAATTATAACTAAAAGTTCAGGTTAAAAGTGAAATCAGTATAATACACATATTTTATGCAAGTCTGATTAAAAAGCAAAGAGAAAACAAAACTAAATACAAAGAATATACAGTGAAAAAAATACAGAGAAAAGCAAAAATTGAAAATAAAATTCATATATAATCACTTTTTTAACAATTTTGAAAACACAAATGACAAGTCAGACTTTGTGAGCAGGACAAAAATGTACCTGTCACTATTTAAAGAGTTCTCTGACTTTAAGAAAGATAGTGGCAAAGTGAACCCCTGGGCTCACCCTCTCCACATAGAGGTAATTTGTAGCAGAACAAAGTCAACAACTCCAAAGGAAAAACAATGATCATGACACACACTAGCAATAATATTAAAAGGAGGGGGCAAACAATGGAATGGGCCAAGCATGTGGCCTGGGCTGGCATGGTTAGTCCCATTGGCCTGGCATGCCCTGAAAGTAGCAGAGCAGAACTGGTAAGTGGTCCTTCTGCAGCAGGTTCTGACAAACCCCTGCAGATCTTGGGGAGGAATCAGGCCCACTGGGATCAGGCCCACTGGTGGAACTCCCCTACATGTACCACAGTGAGTCCAGGATAGGAACTGGAAACAGCCTAGTGTAGAAGGCCCAGCAGACCAAGTGAGCCCTGAGACAGGTTCTAGAAACAGTATTCACCACATTATACCCCATCAAACTTTTTAGAAAGTCCTAGGGAAGTTGCTGGAAGCATCCCAGACCTGATAGTCCCTGGTAAAATCTTTAAAAACAGTCACACAGGATTATATTATGTCATAACATTGAATCTTAAAACTATTTTTCAGTATTATTGATAATCTATTTATCATAGTATAAATAATCATCTTAACAAATCTTCTAATACTGAACCACTTGATTATGAAATTTGTATAGCAGTTTTTCTGTTATTATATTGACAAATTTGAATTCTGATATCGTGTAAGCTTTAACTATGTTTGAAATAAGCATTGAGCAGAATGCACACATGTGAAATATCTTTCAAAATATTGCTAATTTATGATATCAATAATAATTCAATCAGGAAAAGTCCACTTTTAAATAGTAACAAGGAAACTTTAAAAATATTTAGATACAGTGTTTGTGTATGAGACTTGAGGTTTGGATATTTTTTTTTTTTTTTTGCTTTCTAGGTAATTTGGTACAACAAACTATCATGAAATAGACACTGTGGCATCAACCACTCAATTTCATAATGGATAAAACTGGTTCAGTGAATAAATGCATGTGATGTTCAGTTGCTTTTTAATAGCTTTGTTGAGATACATTTCCAGTAACACAAAACTCACCCATTTGAAGTTTATAATTCAATAGTTTTTACCTTCTTGCAGGTATGTGCAAAACATAACCAGTCAATTTAAAATATTTTCTTTACCTCAGTAAGAAATCTTATACCCTATGAGTTACCACTCTCTACTCTTACTATCCCCTACACTTCTAAGCAACCACTAATCTATTTTCTGCCCCTAAAATGATACTGAATAACTGAGACAAGGAAATATTTTGGCATTTATTCTTTAGTTCAAAAGAACATACAGTCAATTTACTAAGAAAAATTCTCATTGATGTTGTCTGTAGACAATTTATCAAAACACTTAGAAAATAACTTCTTGTTAATGACATCAAATATGATTGTATAATGAATAAGGAAATGTATTTTCTAGGTGAAAGAGTTCTACAGATTTGTCATGTTATATATCAAATGTACTAGATACAGAGAAAAAGTTCAGAACCACTGCTTTACTAAAAAGAATTTGTTACAAAGATATTTAAGATTACTAAGAAAAGAATTACTTTCCCTAAAAAATAAAGGTGGTGAATTCAGTACAATGGACAGATAAAAATCAAAGATTTCTCTACCAGAGAATGTAACAATACTCATTAATTAATGTGGTCAGAATTACTCGTTAATTCATGTAGAAAAAAACTATTGTCTGATAAAGTTATTATCTGATAAACATAAAACCAAAAGTAATATATAAATAGGAAATATATAAAATATCATACAAAAGACATAAAAGCAGTGGTGAGGAAAATACATATACTCCTGATGATAAACCAGATCCTAAAATGTCAATAATTTCTACTTAAATTTACATATTTATTACATGATACTACAACAGTTCAATTTTATAAGGACATAGGGAGGAGTAAAAGGGAAATGACAAAGTGATTATCAAGTTAACCAAGTTAACATGAAAGAGCAAGAATACAAAAAGAACATTTAAAAGAAAATTTAGAAGATACACCTGTCCTCTGAGAACTCAAATCACACTATTTAGATGTAATAATCAAAACAATGTTACACTGGCTAAAGACAGAAAACAGAAAGGTGGTGGCAGGACTCATACAGTATAGAAAAAGAAACCTTAGAATCTATATATTATATTTTTATATACTGAAGGTGACCATCTGCAAACCAGATAGATAACCTTCCCTAGAAACCAACTATGAATTTAGATTTCTACCCTCTAGAAACGTGAGAAAGTAATTTCTATTGTTTAATCACCCAATTTATGGTATTTTGTTATGGCAGTCTGACTTGAATAAAGCAATACACAATCACCATAATGTTTTTTCAAAATGATAATCATTTTTTAAATAATTACAGTTACAGATCAACCCATGGTAAAAGCAGTAATAAAAGGGAAATGTATAGCTATACAGACTCACTTTAAGAAGGAAGAGCTCAACAAAATTAATATATAAAAATCAGCTGAGTTCTCATACAAAAACAATGAAATAGAAGAAAAAACAAGAAAACAATTCTATTTACCACCACATTAAAATAATGAAGTACCTAAAGAAATCTCAGCAAAGGAAGTAAAAGATTTATATAACAAAAACTATAAAACAAACAGAAGACAAACATTACTGAAATTTTTATGGACCCATAGAAGACCCCAAACAGACAAAACCATACTGACAAAAAAGGTATGCTCCCAGACTTCAAATTATATGGCTACAATAATTAAAACAATATGATATTGAAAAAAAAAATAGACACAGAGATCAATGGAATAGAACTGAGCACTCATAAATAGGCCCATATTAATACAGACAGTTAACCTATGAAAAAGAGACATGAATACACAACAGAGAAAGTCTCTTTAACAAAAGCTATCCGAGAAATCAGTCACGTGCAGAAAAATAAAGGAATTACTTTTAGTACCAGAATTGGCAGAATTTATCAGATTTTATTATGACAAGAGTAAAAATATCAGATCAGAACTGTGTCACATATAAGCAATGTGGGAAATTTAAAAATAATATAGCTAGTTACATCAGATTTAAAATTTCCAAATACTAAAAAGGAAGTCATACACATAAAAAAGGGAAAACGTATCTGTAACAAAGTCACTAATCATATACCCTATTTGATTTCAAACTCATATTAGCTGATCTCGACCTTGCTACTTGGATGGCACAAAGGAAACTCAAGACTCCCACTCCAAACTATTGAAAAGTACTAAAGCTATCATCCAAAGAAAGATACCATAAACCTAGGTTTTACCTTGATACTTTTAGCCTTTCTTCATGACTAGCACATCAAAGAGTACTATCTTATATCTTAAAAATTTCTCAAATGCATCTACTTCTCTGCATACATGCTACCACTCATTGGTCTGTCATCTCTGGCCTAGAATACTGGACTAGCTTAATAATCTTCTCCCCACAACCTCTCTTGTCCCTCACTCAACATAGCCAGAATAAACAATTTGGACAATTTACTGGGTACTTGCAGAAAACTCCTCCCTTTTTTCTCCTATCCCCTATCCAGCAATGAGCCCAGATATTCAATAATATGACAACTACATACTTTTTCATTTTCACTTCCTACCATATCTTCCTAGTTTTCAGTGTTTTAGTAATTCTGGACATTTTTCAGTTCTCTAAAGTGGCTACAATCTCTTCAGGTCTAGATTTTACACATAGCTATTCTAAAACACTTGCAATGTATTAGATAAAAAGATTATAAGGGTCATATATGACCTTTAAATTTCTGGCTAGCATAGCTAAATGAACAGTAAATCATTTACTGAACAGCTTTAAATGTTAAATTATCTTCTATCAATATTATAAACTCCACATTATTATTCCTTGGACACTTCAGATATAAAAGTACCCCAATGTTCTTGCACTAATCTTCCTTATACCTAGAATGCTCTCTAAGTGATCTCTGCATAAAGAGTGACTCTGATTTTGATCTGAAAAAGCTAGTTCTACTCAATCATACAAAAGGCAGAGCTCTATTTTCCTGATCTACTAAACTATTTAAATTGTTCATGATCGTTGCCTGAGATTCTTACTCATTTGCTTGTTTGGAGTCTCCCCAAATAAAAATGTTAGTCTCTGAGACAAATATTTTATTTATTCATTCATTCATTGTATTCCCAATGTCAATACATACTCAGCTTTTGAGAAAAACTGAATAAATGATTAATTCAAAGCCAGAATTCTCTACCTGTAATAACAAGCTTTATCATTAAAAAAGTCATGCTATGAATATCCATATAAATCAATAGATCATGAAGCCCTCATAATTTGACAACGTTTTGCTGTTTTGCAAATATTTTCTTCAAGAGTGAAAACATAACTGTGAACTCCATATCACTTTAGAAGGCAATTTATAGTAGTGATCAAGAACATAAGCTCTGGAGATACAGTTTGTCTGAGTTTGAATCAAACTTCACTACATAGTATATGACATAGTATATGACATTGGGCTGGCTACTTAATATGCCTGAGGTACAGTTCCCAGAGCACAGTATGTTATAATAATACCTACTTTAATTATGAGAAATGCATATTAGAACAATAATGAGATATCACCTGCCAGAAGGTGATATTGGGCAGTCAAATATCTTCTCCCAAAAGGTGGCTATTATCAAAAAGACAAGAAACAAGTTTTGAAGAGGACATAGAGAAAAGGCAACCCTTATAACCTATTGGTCAGAATGAAAATTGGTACAGTCATTATGGAAAAAATTATGGAGATTCCACAAAAAGTTAAAAATAGAACTTGCATAAAATCCAGTTATTCTAATTCTGAGTATTCAATCAAACAGTACAAAACCTCTACTTCACGGGGTGTATGACCCCTATGTTTTTACCCACACTGCTTTCAACAGCCAAGGGTTGGAAGCAAATTATGTGCCCCTTGATGGGCAAAAAGATAAAAAAGAGTATGAAAAAGATTCCATACTCAATGGAATACTATGTAGGCCTAAAATGATGAACCATTTGTAAAAAACACAGGATGGACTAGAGGGAATTAAGCTTAGTGAAATAAGCAAGACCAAAAACAACAAACACCCTCCTACATGTTACACAGAGAAAACAGAGAAACTAAGTTAAAATAAATCTTTGGACTACAGATTAGAGGCTACCAGGGGAGGAAGAAGGAGGGTGGGTAAAGTGAGACAGTGGTATACTGAAAGATTTGGACTTGGTCAGTGAACTTAATGTAGTATGTATACACTTTGATTCTTACAATGAACTGAAACTTATAAAATGTTATAATGAAATTTAATAAATAATTCAATAAAAACTAAAATACAAAGTTTGAAAATATATAAAATAAAAAATATCCACTTTATAAAGTTGCAGTGAAGATGAAGTACACATAACAATCCCTGACTCACAGGAAAAACAATGGATGTTAGCTGCTGTCTTCTTAATGCAAATAGAACCTAGGGTGTCAAACACGGAAATTTGAAGTGAACACGCTTTCATATGTGTTTAAAGGAGATAGCTACAAAGGATGATTCCAAACAGTAGATATTTGATGGTTTAAAACAGTAAAACATGGAATAGCATATAGATAATCGGCTAAAAGAAAAAACTTGTCACGGGCTTCTCTTACATACCGAGTGGGTACGGAGTGCTGCGATGGTTTTTGAAAGTGCCATTTCCCAGAGTTCATCAATGTAGGCTCTATTTACCAAGCCCTGGGTTGTATGCAAAATGTGATCTTCAACCACAAAAAAGCTAAGATTGAGGAAAAAAGAAAGCACAGCTGTTAGAAATTACTGTTTGAAACTATCTCCTGGGTTTGGCAAACATTAAGGGTTGCCATCAAATTTGAAGTTAATGGTCATTTTTTTCTTAAAGAAAGGTGCTTAGTATCATTAACAAAATCAGATTTCCTGGGGCTAGAACCCTGACCAGAATATCTTCTTAACAACGTCTACAGAAACCAGAGTTATGTTTCTATTAAATGTTTATTGTGTTATCCAGCAATTTAAAGAGGAGGAAAATGTTTATGGGTAAACAAGGCTAATTTTACTATATTAAACACACCAAGCCACTAGTACTTTTTAAAAAACTAATAGATTTTGAAAACTGCAATACACATTTTTAAGACACCAAAATGGCAAACAGCAAAATACTTGTCCTTATACAGACTTCTTCATAAAAATATTGGAAAGCAATCTAATAAAAGTTGTTTTTTTTTTTTACATGCACCTATTTTTTATTGTTCTGCTATGGCTTCTTTAACTATTACACATTTAAAATGTTGCCTAGATATCCATACTAATCTAAATAATTCTTTGAATAGGGAGTTTTATAATATACGTTATTTAAATTATCAATTATATTAAAATGAGCTAAATCTGAAAAAAAAAAAAGAAAGAAATTTTATGAAGCAACCCAACTATTTCCCTTCCTTTTCACTGCAAGTGTTATTTTACAATTAGAAAAATCTGCCTGTATATGGGAGATATATTTGGGAACAACTTCACATTAATACAACTACTCTAGGTAAGGGTGGTTAACTACATGTAGCCACCAGGACAAATCTGGCCCTCTGCCTATTTTTATAAGTATTGGTTTGCTGGAACACAGCCATTTTCATTCATTTACATATTGTCTTTCACTGCTTTTACACTACAACAACACAGCTGAATGGTTGTGACAGAAACCCTGTGGCTGTTAAGCCTAAAGTATTTTACTACCTGGCTCTTTCAGAAAAAGCTTGATAAACTTTACTGATTATTTGGCTCCCTTTGACCCAGAACAGAGAAATAAAGCAACAAATATAATAAGATTACAGTTCAGTGTTTCTCTCCCATTAGCCACAAAAAGTGCTCTCCAACAATATAATGTTGAAACCAGGATATTCCTTTGAAATCATTAGAAGAATCCAAAATAATCTTGTATTTTATTTTTAAAGAGGAAAGAATTCCCCATAGGAAACTAGACTTATTTTTCCAAGCCTCAGAAAGCCATGTATTGAAAACATGTAAATTAAAATATGTATATACATATATATACCTACCCTACAATTTGATTAAAATATTTCCTGTAGCCATCTAAAGTTTCATGCTGCAACAAAGCAAAGAGGAAGAAGACATCATTTTTTTGTTTTGATACAATAAAGCAAAGTTAAAATTATTAGTTATTTTCTTAAAGTTTGGTACCTTTACATTATTTACATTAAAGCAAATAGAATAATAACCTTCTAGGATTATAGTAAGGATAAAATGAATCAATAGGTATATATTACATAAAACAGCACATGACACATAGCAAGCAATAGATGTTAACTGCTATTTTTTTTTACTGCAAAGCACATTAGGTAAAATAATGAAAAGATACCAGAAAAAAAAAAATGAACGTGTAATCCTACCATGTTAGATGGCGGCTGGAGAACCAAACGAGCCTGTTTTCGCCTCTGTTTTCGGTAGTAGTTCTCAAATGTTTCCCGGGCACCCTGCAGAATAAAAAGAAGGAAATGAGGTATCACAATTACACAAATTACTCTAAAATTTTAAAGGAAAACAGAAGCCCCCAGGTCTAGAACTGAAGATGCTCCCACACTTCTCAAAATAGGCTATCTGAACCATGATAATCACAGAAAAAAATAAAAATTACTGTCATAATTTATTGAACCTTACTTATCACTAGTTCCTTTAAGGATGGATACTAAAGATTCAAAAGCAAAAACTACCAAAACCCAACTACTAACACGTTGAAACTTGTTTCTAATCATCACAAATTCACAAGAATGAAGACAAACCAATGCTTTCAGAGGTTATAACAACAGTTGAGAAAAATGCTCCTTTAAAACGTACAGAATATTATAGAGAAAAAAAAAGTGTTCAGAATTAAAAAAAAAAAAAAAAGTCTCAAGTGCTCAAGTGTAGTATGAAAAGGGCCAAAGGGAGGCAGGAAGAAAACAGAAGCTGAGACCAGTAAATTAACTTTCCCAGGTAAAATACAATCTACTTTAACTAGATTTCGTCTAAAAAAGAAGAAACCTAGCTGTAGGCTAAATGGAAGTTATCAGGTCTTTTCCGCCCTCCTGCAAGTAGCATCGATGATCTACACCTGTGGCCTTATACGCAAACACGTGTGGGGCTGGCACCTGGAGCGTGGTGTGGGCATACGTAAGTGAGCACACCTGAGCCTGAGGTGAAGCCGATAAGGGCAGAGGCAGCACAGGGTGGGAGGCAGCAGAGGACTGTGCTGTAGGAGTGCAGTAGAGACCAACAAAGGGACCACAGGGGAACCCAGAAAGAGTAAAGATTCGCAGGGGATTAGAGATCTGCCAACCTCCTGAACCCTGGGCCCCCCTGCCTGCCCTGCCCCTGGCTGCCTCACTACAAATAGTGTAGAAAAATCATTAAAAGCCTGAAAAAGCCACTGAGGACTCCATGACTCCTCCTTTACCCGTCTGCCTGGATCCATAGAGAACCTGCTCCATGCCAGCTTGGCACTTCAATAGCCCTGGAAATTCTTGGTGAAGTCTCAACTTTTCATTCAGAGTTTCTGGGTTTAAATTGAAAGGAGCTCTAGAGAACAAGAGCTGCTTCGTGAACTCTGTAGCTGGGCTGAATTGCCTAAAAAAGTCTAGAGACTTATTCAATATGACTTTCTTATTAGATCACTAAACTGGGGAAGTGGGTTTAAGGTAGTAAATCATGCCAACTCAATAGTATAGATGAGGGGCTGGCAAGCATCTGTATAACACAGAACAATAAGTATGGTTTGGTGAGCCATGCAGTCTGTGTCTCAACTGAAGTCTGCAGCTGTAACACAAAAACAGCTATAGACAATAAATACATGAGTGTGGCTGTGTGCCAATAAAATCTTACTGGTGGAAACTGAAATTAGAATTTCATATAATTTTCACCTGTCATCAAATATTATTCTTCTTTTGATTTTTTTAACCAACCATTTAAGAATTGCCAAACCACTTTTTAATTCACAGGTCAAACAAACAGCAGGCTGGATTTGACCCATGTATGATGGCTTGTTAAAACAAAGGTTTTAAAATGCTGAAGTGATTATAACTGTACATGCCTGAGTTTTTCAACCTATAAAAAGAAATCAAACATTAAGATAGCCATTTCAAGGCTTTCTTAATACATAAATTAATGAGGTAGCAAGTGATTTTACTTAAGAAATAAGAAGTGGAAACTGCCTGCTAGTTTGTTAAAGTTATTCCCTCCTTGTCACCATTTTCACAACATAGTATTATTAAATGTCAATTACATTCTGTATGCACTGAAAGACTTTTCCCTTTAAGGCTAACAGAACTAAAGGCCCTTTATTATTCTAGTATGACATTACATATCCAACATGCTTTGGAGCCAAGATACACTTAGCTGAGAATTTAGAGAAAGCCTTCTTCCTAATTAGACCATAATATACTAATTTAATTATTTGTTGTAAATGATAGAAAATATACAAGATGAAATTCTATATAAAAACCCAACCAGGAACCTCTACTTAATTCTAAACTAGATACAGTTTGTTTTTCATCCAATAGAATAAAAATGACAAAAGATCAATTTATCTCATAGACCTGCTTCCCCATTTACAAAAACCAGGTTAGAGTTTCCCAAGAGGCTGCTAAATAAATTCACTTTTCATTTTTCTATTTCCTCTGCCAGTTTTGTCAACTCAGAGTTTACAGGTGGAATTTGAGAAGTAAATGTCTGATGCTCCAATGGAGTAAGAGCCTGTCTATTCATAATACAGGCTAACAGATGAAAAACAAAGTTTAAAAGTTATTGAATGAAAGTTTAAACAAATAAATATAAAAAATAGGCAGTCTACTGAAAAGTTGTTTTTCTTTTTAAATACTTTCCATCAGTAGTATTACAGCGCTCCAAAGGCCTTGAAATAATTAATAATGAATTATTATACACAATATCACAGAAAAACAAGTCATCTAAAATATATAAAGTGTTTGCCATAGGGTAGCCACTGTCAATGGGACTTGTCCTTACTGAGTTTCTAATCTACAGAAATAAAATAATTAATTAAATTAAAATAAACTACAGAAATTTAAAGTTGGGAGTGGCATCGATGTCAGAGAGTACTGGGAACATTGTTTAGAGAAAGTCCCTCTCCCCCCAAAAAATGGGATTTATATTCAAAATAGAAAACTAAAACAGAAGGAAAAAGCCTGGTAAAGAGAAAGGGAAAGAAATATTCCTTGTAGAAACACAAGTTTCAAAGAAAAAAGCTATCATACAACCTATGAACCGAAAAGTAGTTCTAAGAACTTCAGAGATGGAAGTGAGATGACAGAAGAGGAGGCTGAAAGGCTTTGTAACTTATGTTAAGACATTCAATCTTCAACTCGAAAGAAGTTACGAAATAAGTAGAATGAAGAAAGAGAAAATTAGGTGCAAAAGAATTACTCAGAGTCTGACACATATTTAGGAGATACAAGCCAATGACTGAACGTGGATGGTAAAAGGCTGATGTGAGGTTTCTATACTGACTAATTTGAACATGGTGTCACTTAATGAAAGAGGAAACATAAAGAAAAAGTACACAATCTCTTATCATTCATGGAATCATGCCACTTTGCTTACTTGCTAATTGTATTTGTAACCTCAAAATGAATCTAAAATAAGTGTGTGTTTTCTTTATGGGCCACATCTGAGTAAAATCATAGGTGCTTGTCATTATTGGTCATTCTTATTTCACTAAGCACAATTCCCTCTATCTGGATTTTATCTTTTTAGGGCTATATAGTATTCCATTGAGTACATATATCACTTTTTTTTTTAATCCATTCATAAACCAATGGCATTTGTGTTGCTTCCAGGTCTTGGTGGTTGTAAACAGTACTGCAAAGAAAACACTGAAGTGCGTGTATCTCTTTGAGTTAGCATTTTTGTATTTTTTTAAATAAATACCCAGAAACAGAATAACTGGGTTTGATGAAAGTTCTACTTCTAACTTTTTGTGGGACCTCCATACTGTTTTTCCATAATGGCTGCACCAATTTTCATTCTTGCAAGTAGTCTTCTGATCTCTCGATATCCTCTCAAACACTTGTGACTCTTGTCTTGAATAATAGTCATTCTCACATATATGAGGTAATGTTTCATTGTTGTTCTAATTTCTGTTACTCTAACATGTGACTTTTTGAAAAAGCAGACAGGGACTGGTGGCGCAGTGGGTTAAAGCACAGCACTGAGAAGCTAAAACCATTTCAGCATGAGTTCAATCCCCACCCCAGAGGTGATCCACACGGTACGGCAGATCTCTCCTGAACTACCTGCTGCTCCCCTCAGTAGTGTACTTCATCAATAGGCCTATTCTGCTCCCCAATCTGTCTCTGGTGAATCCTCTCACTGCTCCCTGTACCTCTGGCCTGTACCCCAGCTCTGTATGCATAAATAAATAAGTCTTTGAAAATTTTTTTTAAAAAGCAGATAATACAGATCAAAGAGAACAAATAAATCATTGATAACTGCATCACTTAGAACTAATGTTTACTTTTTGTTGAACTCCCTTCCAGACATTTTTCTATTCTAAAAAGACAGATACTTCAACTTCAAATGTACCTGTATGTATATGTCCACATATATAAGTAGAATCATGTTGTACATATTTTTTCAATGAACGTTCCATACAATAATCATTTCTCCAACATCATACTTTAATATGACCCACTTTTACTTCACAACAGTTTCAACTCCTTTCTTCAAACATATGCTATGAAGTGTCACCATATAAATGCTGGAACCAACATGGGCTTTGGTTAAACATTTAATAGGAAAACCACAAGTGACAATTTTGAATTCCCCATGTCTCTACACACTTGTCTGGGGGATATAAGCACAAGAAACACACATTAGTACTGAGTGAGCAAATGAGTGAAGCTTTGTTTTTGTCTGTAAAATGTGATTCTAACAAAGTTCATAGTCAAATTTGAGCTGCTATAGGTTAATAGTATAAATAAATCATGTGATCCTTGTTCTTAAGGAAGAGAGCAGAGAAAGTCAGATAGATGAAAGGACTTCTTTCTCTTCATAAAAGGTGACAATGTGTGTCATCCACACAGATAAGTTGAATAGCTTGTACAATTACTGAGTTCTGTTGGTGGCGTCTGCATGTCTCAGGTTGTAGAAGAGAACAAAACTTACTCTAGAAAATACTACTTGAAAAGATAAGTCTATACAACAGAGGGACAGAATTTCTATATTCTTCATGAAGTATTTACTGTGCCATTTCCAGATAGAGATTGGTATAAGTATTCTGGAGAGTGGGCTGAATCTTATCTATCACAATAACAGAAAATTAACTTTTGGAATGAGAAACAGCTAAGGACAAGTACACAAAGAACAAGGGAGTGAAACAGAAGGAGGGAAGCACACACCATTGTTCTTCCGGCTTTGCCTACAGGAAGCAATATTTCCATTTGGTCTTGGGCAAAGCCTGTAATTTCACTATGCTCACTGCAGC